TTATATATAAAAATCTTTATGATAAAAGAATAGAAACATGGAGGTATGTAATCTTATGCAAAGAAGAAGCTTGATCTAAGAAAAAATTTTTTTTCTTCATATTTCTTACATTAGTAAAGCATTCCAAGGAGAGATCCATCATTTTGCCAGCCGTGAACCTCAATTTTCTCTGTGATCTTAAAATTATAAACAATAAAATACGACTATCCGCGGTCTTCATATCGTACCAATCAGAATTATACGCTGCGTTTCCGATCGCGGTGCTCTAAAGCAACGAAGAAATATTTAAAAAAAAAATAACAAAGAGATATTGCTTTATATATAGAGTGTTTGTTCTTCTCTATAATATTATTTTCAATATCGCAAACGCGCCGCGCGCAATATCACATCTTATACAGTTATTATCGTAACAATTATCTTTTTAGTCGCTAACCTTGTTGCTTAGGTATTCTCCAGCAAAACAGAATATAAACGCTTCGAGATTTGTTACAGCGTAAAATAAAAGAGATCTCACTATCTGCTCGGTGGCGTCGGGACTGCCGATTGCCTACAATATCGAGACAAGATGAATATATAACATTTTTTAAGTTATAAATAGTTGTTTATAGGCATCATATGATATATAATAAATTAAAATTCGTGTAATATATATATAAAAGTAATAAATAAAAATATTAAATTAATTAATTGATTTTTAAATAAATGTATTTATATTCTTAGAATTTTGACAATTTCACTCACAGTTACAATAAGAAATGCCAATGAGCAAATCATCACCGTATTCGATGTGAATTGCAATAAAGCAATGTACGAATAAAGATTCTCAATCTTTTCCGAAAGGCTGATAATTTTTTGATGTTTTCGAATGATTTTCGTCATTCTTGCGATCTCTATCGATCCAACTTCCGTCAACCAGCAAAGCAAGATGTTTATTTGTCCACCTATATGTAGAGTCTAGAAATCAAGATTCTGTCATTTATAATAATCATTATAATTGTTTATTTAAAATAAAGAAAGAAATATAAAAATTTCGTAATAAGAAGTAAATCTGATAAAATGCATGGAAGCGAACGAAATCTTGTGGAATATTCTAAATTATAGCAATGTTTTATCACTGACAAACAGTGGCTTCAGTCATAAGTATAGCATTGAAAACAATGAAATTTTATTGAAAAGAATCAATTAGTGATAGTAGCTGATTTTTCAATGAAATCTTACTGCCATGCAATCAGTAAAACATAAGACAGAGCAAAGTGTGAATATTTTTAATAAAATCAGTGAAGTGAAGTGTTCACTGATCTTCGGTGAAATCTTGTCACTGTTTTAATTATTGATATTTCATTGACTCAATTTAAGAGTAGATACATTAATACATAACTTTTCAAATTTATTATTTAATATTTAATAATTAAATATATTTAATATTAATATATATAATATCTAATAAGGATAATTATACAATGTGGAGAGCATCATATATTTATTTTATAATTACATTTTATGTATGATTTTATGTACTTGCTTAGATGCAGGTTACCAGAGTTAGAAACACGGCGTTGAATAAACCAGCCCCCAAACTGCACGCCATCACATACACGAATTGCGTAGCTAACACCAGTCTGTACTTGCGTAGCGTGTCTATAACGAAGGGATATTCCATTTTCATCATGAGGGGCAGCTCGGTCGTTCGATCGGTGACGTCGGCATCGGCTAAGAGGATACCAATGACGTATGCGAGCGCGGCAATTGTATGAAGAATAATTAGCCCATTACAAATACGGCTCGATAGTTTTGCTTTGCGTGCTGTTTCGTGCAATGCAACATCGCTCTCACCGCAATAGCTCCAGTCTTTTGTCATCGTCGTCAAAATTTCGATGAATTCTCTGCGAATGATTGAATATTTCGAAATAGTTGTATAGGCATATTTTTTACGATAGTGTTATTTTTTTATAATTTTAATTTTTGAAATGTATTGCAGGGATTATGTTTCTTCTCTTTGTGAGAATCAGAAACGTATTTGAAAAATAATTGGATGCGCATACGGAGATATAATCGTAGAAAAAAAGATATTAGTATTTTATTAATTTTGGCATCCGTCTTAAATTATTATTTTACATAATTATTTAAGCAAACTAAAGATGCCATTTTTTATCTTAGGAATCATGTATGAATATCTTATTTAAAAATATATATTTTGATTATAATTATATATGTGCGCATTATATCTCTGTTTACTTATAGATTCTAAATCGTAACTTACCTTTGTTTTAACGAGAAGATAATGAGTTTAAAAGTCAACTTCACATGTGCCAAGAAGCTACTCAAACAATCCATCAAATTGAAAAGATTGTCGATATTAAAATGTGTTACAAAATACCGGTAATGGAAGAATTGGTTGATCACTAGCGTAATCATCCAAAATACTCTGTACAATAGAACGCATGATATACCTGGCCAGACACCGAATGAGGTGAGCAAAAATTCTATCGTGCGATTAATTGTATTTTTACGCGTCATAATTCCTTTCCTTTGTTTGATAGTGTTTCTTACATGGGGAAAAACATCGATATTTACACGCAGTAAGATAAACGCGCTTTCAGGAAGGTTAAAAAAGCTACAATACTCTCGATATATTTCCCAACTCGATGTATATTCTAGAACGACTGCGTAAGGACTGTGGGAGGTTCTCAAGAGATCATCAAATGAGCTCTCCCTTAGAGCGATTGACCAATAGTAGTAATTCATTAAATATTTAACAGCAGTAACTCATTAAATATTTTTTATCGTATTGCGTGCAGAGCTTACGAATACGCATTCATCGCGGCTTCTTCGATGCAAGAAGAAGAGGGAGCGTATAGAGCCATTTCTTTTTCCCTTGGGAATTACTAACGCAATCGTGCAATCGCTTGTTTTAAATATGCAATGATATGATTTGTGTGAAGGTAAATGCGATCGTGTACGTCCGCTAGTCACTCGTACTTCAGCAAAGTTTAAGAGTCAGATGCAATAAGAAGTGATCTAAATGCGTGATGTTACGGAAGTTTTCTTGCATACAATATTTCTAAATTTATTGGCAATATTTATGAGAAATTAACAAGTGAAAATGCACGTGAAATAATGTGATGTCAATGTTTATATGTGCAGAAAATATTTTTTTTGAAGATAGAGGCATTGTATGCCTTTAATAGAAGCCTCAAGAATATTATTTTCCACGCATTTGTACAAAAAAGAAGAATATCATGATTTTTTTCTACAATTTAAAAGAAAAATATTTATGGTATTTTTTGCGGGAAAATATCGCATATATTATTATCTTAGCATATATTATTCTATTTATTCATCTAAAAGTATATATTTGAAAATATATATACTATGTTTTTCTCGATATATTTTCCTAATCAGTGGTAAATGTCTACATGTCATGTCTACACGTCAGTTAGCTGAGGTACTTTACGACTATCGTGCAGGAAATGACTGTAAGGCGCTTATTTCATCGCCAGCAGTACCGACAGATAGGATCCCGAAGCTTTCATGATCTATAACAAAGTTGTTTTTTTATAGTAATAAATAAAAATATTAAATTAATTAATTGATTTTTAAATAAATAAAGTATATATGTATTTAGATTCTTAGAATTTTGACAATTTCACTCACAGTTACAATAAGAAATGCCAATGAGCAAATCATCACCGTATTCGATGTGAATTGCAATAAAGCAATGTACGAATAAAGATTCTCAATCTTTTCCGAAAGGTTGATAATTTTTTTATATGTAAAGGTTGATAATGTTTTCGAATGATTTTCGTCATTCTTTCGATCTCTATCGATCCAACTTCCGTTAACCAGCAAAGCAAGATGTTTATTTGACCACCTATATGTAGAGTCTAGAAATAAAGATTCTGTCATTTATGATAATCATAATTGTTTACCTAAAATAGACAAAAAATATAAGAATTTCCTAATGAGAAGTAAATCTGACAAAGTGCATGAAAGCAAATGAAATTTTGTGCAATATCCTAAATAGAAAAAAAGTTTTATCACTGACAAACAGTGGTTTCAGTCATAAGTATAGCATTGAAAACAATGAAATCTTATTGAGCAGAATCAATTAGTGATAGTGGCTGATTTTTCAATGAAATCTTACTGCCACAATCAGTAAAACATAAGACAGAGCAAAATGTGAATATTTTTATTTAAATCAGTGAAATGAAGTGCTTACTGATTTTCGGTGAAATTGTCACTGTTTTATATATTGATTTTCATTGACTCAATTTAAGAGTAGACACATTAATACATAATTTTTCAAATTTATTATTTATTATTTAATAATCAAATATATTTAATATTGATATATATAATATCTAATAAGAATACAATGTGGAGAGCATCACATATTTATTTTATAATTACATTTTATGTATGATACTTGCTTGGATGCACGTTACCAGAGTTAGAAACAAGGCGTTGAATAAACCAGCCCCCAAAGTGCACGCTATCACATACACGGATTGCGTAGCTAACACCAGTCTGTACTTGCGTAGTGTGTCTATAACGAAGGGATATTCCATTTTCATTATGAGGGGCAGCTCGGTCGTTCGATCGGTGACGTCGACATCGGTTAGGACGATACCAATGATGTATGCGAGCGCGGACATTGTATGAAGAATAATCATCCCATTACAAATACGGCTCGATAGTTTTGCTTTGCGCGTTGTTTTGTGCAATACAAAACCGCTATTACCGCAATAGTTGCAATCTTTCGTCATCGTCGTCAAAATTTCGATGAATTCTCTGCGAACGATTGAATATTTCGAAATAGTTGTATAGGCATATTTTTTTTACGATAGTGTTATTTTTTTATAATTTCAATTTTTGAAATGTATTGCAGGGATTATGTTTCTTCTCTTTGTGAGAATCAGAAACGTATTTGAAAAATAATTGAATGCGCATACGGAGATATAATCGTAGAAAAAAAGATATTAGTATTTTATTAATTTTGGCATCCGTCTTAAATTATTATTTTACATAATTATTTAAGCAAACTAAAGATGCCATTTTTTATCTTAGGAATCATGTATGAATATCTTATTTAAAAATATATATTTTGATTATAATTATATATGTGCGCATTATATCTCTGTTTACTTATAGATTCTAAATCGTAACTTACCTTTGTTTTAACGAGAAGATAATGAGTTTAAAAGTCAACTTCACATGTGCCAAGAAGCTACTCAAACAATCCATCAAATCGAAAAGATTGTCGATGTTAAGATGTGTTACAAAATACCGGTAATGTAAGAATTGATTGATCACTAGCGTAATTATCAAAAAACTCTGTACAATAGAACGCATGATATGCCTGGCCAGACACCGAATGCGGTGAGCAAAAGTTTTATCTTGCGATTAATTGTACGTCCGCCGGTCATAATCTCTTATTTTACTTTGAGTTATTGTTTATACATAAGCCGGGGCATCAAGATGTACTCGATAGAGCAGAGCTCGTTTCAAAGTATAAAAGACATATGCTCTTAAGGAAATTATATTTTTCAACTGCAGGTCTCGATGTACGTTGCGTGAAAACTGGAAGCTTCTAACAGAATCGTGAGGCAAACGGCACTCTTGCACGATTGACCAATGAGACGTGCTTATTAAATATTTTTATCGTGCCGATTATACAAAGAGCTATTTATTTCTTGCAACTTAAAAAAAAATAAAAGAGGGAACACAGATGGAATCATTTTGTGCTCCCTTTAATGCGCATTCGCGAATAATTTTTAAAAATATATAATGATCTAATGGACGTGCATAAATGGCAATGTATATCCGCGACCAGCTATCTTTGATAAATTTTAAAATCTAGAGGGTGGAAAAGAAAAGGAGAAATCCGAAAAAAAGATAACGCATCACATAATAAGCGCATAAAATATTATCTGGCTGTCTTAACCTTTCATGGAACGCCATTTTGATGAGGAAAGAAAGCGAAGTATCTGTCGAAGGATTTCTTATGTAATCTACGGTTCGCCTCATTTACCTTTAATAATTCAAAGTATCGTGCAATAATCGTGGATCGTAAGCAAGTGTATATCAAAACCCAAACCTGCTCGTTTTAGCCTCTGTAAAGTAAGGTATATTAGATACGATTTGTTATTCAATCCAATATAATTGATAATATCTTTTTACAAAACTTATTTTTTACATAATTAATTTTTTTTGGGGAGATGCTTATATATAGTCAGGTATTTGATAAGTTAATCGTGATTATTATTTGCGCTATTATATGTAAATGTAAATGGTTCTTTGCAGTCGTAAATATTAGCCGTTTTGATACACTGTAGCCTGTTCTAAATTAACGATGTTTTTTTAGTATTATAAATACCGTCATTACTACGCCCACGTGCAAGTCGATGATCACGTTCAAAAGACGATGCGATAGACTAGCTATTCTCGTCATCACGTGTATGCTGAATGTATCATTCGCGGATTTTCTCCAATCCGCAACGATCATTGTCATGATGTCGCGAAACTTTCTGCAACATAACGAGAAAATAAATTTAAAGTGTTAAAATTGTGATACTGCATGTAAAAAAGCGTCTCAAATATGAATAATAAGATTGACTTATCGTTGATTGTGATCCAGAAGACGCTCATTTTGAAGAGTAACAAACCATATGTCGAAGAGGAGCTCTCAAATTGTTCATCAAGTCTGTCAAATCATCGGTACAAAAGTTCAATATGACGTAAGCTGACAGATCTGTACCATGATTAACGTTGCGAATCAGAAAAATCTGCGTAAAGCGATGCACGACACATCAGACCATATATCAAAGATCCGAAGAACGACGGAAGAAGCACATCATGCTCGTAGCTGTCATTTTTGTAAGAAATAAACTCTTCTACTGACATCTTAACCGTGTGCATGCATGCGAATGAGAAAAGAATGGTCAATAATATCGCAAAACAGTTTTCGTTATGTCTTTAATGTTTTTATATGCAAATTTTTTTTAACTAAACAGTAAAATCAGCTCTTAACGCTTATTAGAAAAGATTTGATGTTCAAGATTTAGTTTCGCTTTAATTCATCGCAAGTAAAATAGAAATGTACAAGGCTGAAGCCTTTTACAACCTAGAATAATAAAATTTGTAATAATTATGAAAATATGCGTTTATCTCGAAATAGAAAATATTAAAATCCAAATTTAAGGCTTGTGTCATTTTATGATTTTTTTTTTTTATAATGTGTGTATAATATAACAAGTAATACAATATTTCTTTATAATATATAATGTATGACAAATATATTTTATCTAGTGACTAACATTTAAAAGTATAATATAAAATATAAAAAAATCAAATAATACAGCCACACATACATATGACCATATACATTACGAAAATAAATTAACCATATCAAATGAAAAATAGCAGCATCCTCGATACTGTTGCTCTATTGAACGAAAAATCTTAATAATTTTCAGAAGTAAATAATAAATCTATTTATTGCAGTCATAATATTCGTTCTAAAATTTAACCTTAGTACTTAAATATTCTCCAGCAAAACAAAACGCAAACGCTTCAATATTCATAACGAAGTAAAATAAAATTGTTCTCATTATAATTTTCATAGCATCGGGCGTTTCAACTGGAATATTAAGAAAAGATTTAATGGCAGAACGATAAAAGGATGAATAATTAAAAGCAATTAATGCTCGTCATTTTTGCAGATTTATTTTTACAAGTCTCCGCGCTCTTCTTTATCGCAAAATTATCGCGCTGCAAAATGAAAGCGCTACTTACCATGACCATTACAAAACCCAAATAGCAGATAATTATAGAATCTGACATACGAATAGCGCAATCGTA